GAAAGAATACAACCCTGTCGCACACCTTTCTTAATTTTAAAACATTCAGTGTTTCCATGTTCTGCTCGAACAACTGCCTCTTGGTCCATGTACAGATTCCTCATGAGCACAATTAAGTGTTCAGGAATACTCATACTTCACAATATTGTCCATAGCTTGTCATGATCCACACAATTGAAAGCATTTACGTAGTCAATAAAGCACAGGTAAACATCTTTTTGGTATTTTTTGCTTTAAGCCAAGATCTTTCATACATCAGCAATGTATCCCTCGTTCCATGTCCTCGTCTGATACAACCTTGCTGGCTGAAAGTGAAGAAGACTTAAAATACTTACTGATGTAAATCAAAGACCACAGCCTATGGTATGGATTGCATCTCAATGTAAAGAAAACAAAAATCCTCACCACTGGACCAACAAACAACATTCTTATCAACGGAGAAAAGACTGACGTTATCAAGGACTTCATTCTTCTTGGATCAACTATCAAAACTCATAGAAGCAGCAGTCAAGAAATCAAACGACGTATTGCATTAGGCAAATCTTCTATACAAGACCTTTTTAAAGTATTGAAGAGCAAAGATGTCAGCTTAAGAACTAAGGCATGCCTGACCCAAGCCATGGTATTTTCAATAACCTCATATGCATGTGAAAACTGGACACTGAATAAGGAAGACTGTACAGGAATTGATGCATTTGAGTTATGGTGTTGGAAGAGAATATTGAAAGTACCATGGCTGCCAAAAGAACCAAGAGATCTGTGTTGGAAGATGTGCCACCAGAGTGCTCCTTTGAAGCCAGGATGGCCAAATTTTGTCTCTCATACTTCGGACATATTGTCAGGAGGGACCAGTCGCTGGAGAAGGATATCATGTTTGGTAAGGTGGAGGGTCAGAGAAAAAGAGGAAGACCCCCAGCAAGATGTATGGGCAATATGGCAGCATCAATGGGCTCAAGCGTGACACCAATTGTGAGGTTAGCCCAGGACCAAGCAGTGTTTCATTCTGTTGTGCATAGAGTTGCTATGAGATGGCACCTAACAACAACAACAACAACAATTGTTTATGTGGAGTCCTGGTGTGGCACTGTAGGATAAGCACTGGAATGCAAGATTGGTTTGAACCACAAAGTCGGCAGGCAATTCAAACTCACCAGCGGCTCCTTGGAAACCCTATATAGGGTCGCTGAGTCAGAACTGACTCAACAGCACTTAAGAAAACCAACAATTGTTTATGCCACAACTACTGCCATTACAAGGAGTCCTGGTAGCATGGTGGTTACGGATCAGTTCTAATCTACCAGGCTTCTGTTCCCATAAAGATGTACTGCCTCGGAAACCCTATACAGGGTCGCTGTGAGTCAGAACTGACTCCAGGGCATACCACCATCATTGTCATTACATTTAATGGTAAAAGGAATCGTGACTTGTACAAAAACTATCACTAAAGATCCTGTATGGCTTGGTAAGGGAGGAGGGCCACAGTAGGGAGGTATCACTGTCTTCAGGTGCAATTTTCCTCACAATGGCACCAGGATCTTCTCCATCACCCATAGACTGTATCAGGGGGAGGGTTCCCAGAGTACTTCTGGATCAATTGGCCTGTAGGTGGTGACAGCTACCTATTCCACAGCAATGGCAATGGGTCTGTACAGTACTTATGATTGCACTTAAGTAGAAAGTTACCCTAGGGAGGCACGGGGAATGACAACCACAAGCATTTGGTTGAGTCCTCTCTGTCACTTTCGCAGAATTCCAGAACCATAGATCTTAGAGTTGGAACAGCATCTGATTGAATCCCCTCTCCTTTCCCATCAAGGAGCCCTGTATGATAACTACTGGATCACTAACATCAAGATTGGCAGTTCAAACCCCACCAGTCACTCTGTGGAAGAAAGATGAGGCTTTCTGTTCCCATAAAGATTTACAACCTCGGTTGAGTTGGAATAGAGTTAGTGGGTTTGGGGTTTTTTGGTTTCCTCTCCCATCACTGCTGAGAAAAGAACTTGTCCTATTTGTTCTTTTTTTAGATTTTGGTGAAAATATATTCAGTAGAATGCACCAATTTCTATATGTGTAATTCAGTAATATTGGTTACATTCTTCACATGTCACTATTCTTGCTATCGATGCCCCTATTGTCTCAACACCTTTGACTTGACTCATTACGTCCTAAACTTTTCTTTATTTCAAAATTAAGATTGACAATTTGATCTCATATAGATAATCCTTGAAAAGAGTTCAAAGCTCTTGGCAAATATTCCTTCCTAATTTAGCTAAATAGTTGTTTTGTTTAAAGATGACCAGCTTCTAAGTGGTTCAAAACACTGCCCTTGGCCATGACTGGACCATTTTGAACCAGTTCAAAGCCCTGTTTCGGTGTATAATTTTGGTTCGTGGTTTGAAGATTTTTCTCAGAGAGACAGATTCAAGGGTTCCTCCAGTCTCAATAGATCCAGTTAAGTTGGAATTCTGTCAGAATTTGAAATTTTCCTACTTCTTCTGTTCTTGAGTGACACTTCTATTGACCAGGACCCTATTTGAAACTTCCTGCTGGGGGATGTATACAATGCAGGTCACCTCTGAGTTGTGACGCTCTTTCCTGTAAGGGTGCCCCACTGGGTCACACAGAACTAGTCTAATTGCTTTGCATATGTTTGTCCCTCACATACATAATGATCATGAACCTCGCCCCAGCAACTTTGCTTCTTTAGTAAAGTTGTTGTTGTTAAGTGTCATCCTGTAAGTTCCAACTCATAGCAACACTGTATAGGGTTTCCAAGGAGTGGATGATGAGTTTGAACTAGCAACCTTGCAGTTCAGATAAACCTTGCAGTTCAGTGCTTATCCTCCAGTGCCATAGCAGGACTCTAACACCTGAAATATTTTTATTACTTTCCCAGAAATGCCTCCCAGCTACGTCACAGTATATAGTTCAACTCTTCCAGTCACAGTGATAATGGCCAGGATAGTGAGGCAACCCACAGAACCTTGGGTACTAAACGCATTCTATAGCTTGAGCTGGGCCATGGTTGCAAATGTAATGTTGTTAGCTGCCCCATATACAACAGAATGAAATGCACCATTCTCATCATGGGTTGCAGAATGAACTGTTGTGATTCATAGTATTCTATGGTCATTCATAAGTATTCTCAAAAGTAGATCACCAAGTCTTTCTCTCTAATCTGTTTAGTCCAAAAACTCTGCTGACAGGCCTCCACGGAAGGCAAGAATTCTCCCACTGAGCCAACACTGCCACCTATACAGATGTAAATAGATTTCATTTAAAATTAGCATGTTTTGCAGAAAGTTTTAAGAGCGCTGTGGCTCTGTAGGATAAGCACTAGACTGAGTGTGAACCACTAGGTAGGTGATTTGAGCCCACCAACTCTCTGAGGGAAAAAGATGAGGCTTTCTGCTCCCGCCAAGATTTACAGTCTTGGAAATCCTAGGTTGTTATTGTTGTTGTTAAGTGCTGTCAAGTTGGTTCTGGCTCATAGCAATGCAATACAGGGTTTCTGAGGCTGCAAATTTTGTGGGTGCAGAAAGTCTCATCTTTCTCCCACGGAGTGGCTGGTGGGCTCAAGCCAGCAACCTTGTGGTTCACAGTCCAGTGTTTATCCTACAGAGTCACCCTGCTCCCCTGGGAACCCTACACAGGGTCACTATGAGTCAGAACTGACTCCACAGCACTTAGCAACCACCACAGTTAAGTTATACTTCAATAAAATAGGGAGGGAAAATAAAGAGTCACCCCAACATAAATACAGTACTCATCCCCCTTGGATCCTCTCTAGAACAACACAACCAAGATCTACAAGATCTACTATTTAGTAGATTCCAGTTCATACTGACCTTATTTGTTGCTGTTGAGTGCCGTCGAGTCGATTTCCGAGAGTCGATTCCGACCCATAGCGACCCTGTATAAGGTTCCTTTGAACCACGACGTTGCAGCTCAAACTCCTTTGCAGTCTGACGCGTTAGCCCACAGCACCACACCAGGAAAGAGTGAAACTGCCTCCATAGGGTTTACAAGGCTATAATCTTTCTCCCACTTGAACGGAACGGGCAGGTTAGCATAAATAAATACAATACAAGGCCCAGGTGCAGTTTCCGGAGAGCACTGTCCAGAGAGCCCACCTGCTCCTCTCAGGGTCCTCACATGGAGGATTAGCCTCCAAGTTTTTTCCCAACAAAAGTGAATTTCCTCCTCTTTTCTCCAGAGGATTATTTCAGGACACCTCCAACTCAATCTAGGAAGAAAGAGAGAGCTGGAGTACTGGGCATCTCCTTCCCACACATGTTCAGGAGCAGGTGGGATGAGATTGGTAAGGTCTGGCTCTCAGTATCTTCTAGGGAATTTTAGGGTTTTCCGTTTAAAGGGTACAGTGCATTCCATTTTAAGGGCATTTGAACCTCTTCAGGGTTCTAATGAAAGTCATGCATACACTCCCAGGGAGCGGGTGAGCGAGTATAAGAATTAGATTTTGCTTCCTCTTCTGAGGGAGAAGAGTGAACTATCAGACCCTCAAAGTTCATCTTCAAAGCCACAGGCTTAAGGGGAGAGGTCTCGGGCTTTCCTCCACCGCCAAAGCTCAGGCCAGGTTGGTGTCTGCTGAGCGTTCATAGCGCTCCTGAGCCTAGGCAAAGCGCAAGGAGATTACCCTCTCTGGCCTTTGTACTCGCAGGGCATCACGGGGTTTCAGTTTGCCTAGCTCCAAAATGGGGTCTCAGGAGGGTGCACAAGGAGACTGGTGAAACGGGTCACTGGGGAGGCAGTGGGGTGGGGCGAAGAGTGGCCCCCGGATGGGCTCCGCAGCCGGGGGATGGTGAGCATGTGTGTTTGGGAAGGGGGGGGGAAGTGGCGCCCGGCCGCGCACGAGGAAGGTGCGGACCAACGCAGGGCGCACAGGTCCGCAGAGGCACCCCCTCCATTCTCCCGGCCGTGGGCGGGGCCCTGACGGGCCGGCCCCACCCTCCCTCCCTCCGGCCGCGGGCCTCCCTAGTCCGGCCGGCCCTCCCGCGGGCGGCGCGGCACTTGGGCTGTCAGCTGCGCTTGCTTGGGCCGGCAGCCGCGAGCCCAGGAGCCGGGACCATGGGCTGCGACGGCCGCGTGGCCGGGATGCTCCGCCGCAACCTGCAGCCTACGCTCACCTACTGGAGCGTCTTTTTCAGCTTCGGCCTGTGCATCGCCTTCCTGGGGCCCACACTGCTGGACCTGCGCTGTCAGACGCACAGCTCGCTGTCCCAGATCTCCTGGGTCTTCTTTTCGCAGCAGTTTTGCCTCCTGTTGGGCAGCGCCTTCGGGGGCGTCTTCAAGAGGACGTGAGTGTTGCCTGCGCACCCCCGCCCCACAGGCCCCCGCCCCGCAGGCCCCTGCACTCCTTTCCGCCCCTCTCGAGACCCTACCACGCCACTCTTGTTTGAGTAGGGGCCGCCAGGCATCTCTGCCTTCTGGCCGAGTGACCACCGCTCTGGCCCGGCCCCCTCTGTGCCGCCCTAGCGGAAGGGCTGCCTCCCTCCCCCACTGCAGCTCTCCCCAGAAAACTCTCTCCTGAGACTGAAGGTGACTTCTGAATTATTTTACAGGGACGGATGCTAATGTGGTGAAATTGTTCACTACAGATTAGTAAGTAAGCATAAACAAGACTGTGCTTACCTACCTTGCTTTTTGATTAATCTGCCACCTCCACTCCCTTCTGAGAAAGGTAGAGCTAGCTCTCAGCCTGCTGCTCCCACCAATCACCTCAGGGAACAGAGGGGAGAAGGAGCTTGCAGAGGTGAGGAGGACCTATTTTGCCCAGTAGGGCTGAGGTTTGGTGGCGGTCCCTGGTGCCAGAGGCGGATTTGAAAGGGAAATGGAAGGCGGTGAGTGAAAAGGGGCAGTGCTGGGTGGCAGACTGGCCTATGGCTTGACCCAGCTCCACTCAGGTATTCACTCAGGTAATCCACTCCAGGTCTGCTGACAGGCTGCCCTGTCCCCAGGTAGCCATGGGGCTAGTGGGTCCTGTGTCGGCCTGGCTCAGCCCTTTCTCTGAGACTCTCTGGACCTGGCTGCAAGGGCCAGATGGGGGACGCACAGGTGTTTGCCCAGAGCTTGGTAAGGTGACCCTCCATTCCAGGTGCCAAGGTACCCCTCCTGCTCTCTGCCAATGTGACTGGTCCCAGTGCAGGGCTTGGGCCATTCTCTGGCATGGCCCCTAGAGATACTCCTTTGTACACTTTTCTAGAGCTTTATTCTCTTGGCTCACACTGGACAGGGCAGCCTTGAAGAAGGCATTTTCACAGGCCTCCTTCTCCCCTCCTCCACAGCTTTTTTGGACAGGCAGCAGGATTTGCTCTTCCAGCGCAGATGGGAATACAGCACTCTAGAGTCGGGGGAAGAGGGGGAGGTGGAGGGTGGAGATACATGTTGTGCCAGCCAGAAGCTTGATGCACTGAATTCTCTAGTCCCAACTTCTGGCCAAGTGGTTTCCTGGATAGCATGGACTTAAACAAACACAACGCCTTAGGAAGAAACCACAGTTGGGCCATCCGGAGAAACCTCTGAAGGGGCAATTCTGGGCCAAGCCATAGGCCAGCCTTTGGACTGACACACTCACACTCTCCTTCCTAGAGGTCTTCATCAAGTCAATTCCTACTCACAGTGACACTACAGGACTGAGTAGAACTGCCCCATAGGGTTTCCAAGGCCATCATCTTTATGAAAGCAGATAGCCACATCTTCGTCCTCCATAGAAGCTTGTGGGTTTGAACCACTGATTTTTTTGTTAGCAGCCAAGCACTTAACCCAGGGCTCCTTCAGAGGTCTCCACGAGAGTGGGTCTTTTACTCCATCTCTGCCCATGCTGATGGAGAGAAGATCAGGTGCCCATATAGATGGACCCTACCTTGTTGTTTAGTGCTATTGAGTCAGTTCTGACCTATAGCAACCCTGTATAGGGTTTCCGAGAGCCACTAGTGAGATTGAACCACTGACCTCGCAGTTCAAAAGCCACCTTGCAGTCCAGCACTTTAACTCACAGCACCACATTATAACTACCCCATTACCAAATCATCCTATATCAGAATTCTCCTCTTGGATAGCAAGTGTGTACCAGTATTTTTGTGGGTTTTGTACAGAACTTCTGTGAATTTTATGTGGGGAATTGAGAAAATCTTAAAAAGATTTCAAGATCCATTTTGTCTAAAAGTTTAATTAGGAATAAAGTAGTATGGCACTGTAGAATAAGCACCAGACTGTTACCCACAAGGTTGGCAGTTCAAACCCACCAAGCAGCTCCTTTGAAACTCTCTACAGGGGAATCCTGGTGTGTCGCTGTGGACTAATGCGTCGGACTGCAAAGTTGTTTGAACTGCAAATTCAGTGGTTCATGCTCACCAGCTGCTCCTTGGAAACTCTATACAGGGTCACTATGGGTCGGAATTGACTCAGTGGCACTTAACAACAACAACACAGGTTCACTATGAGTTGGAATTGACAGGCAGCACCACCACCTAAAGTGTTTTGACTTGCAAAAGTTCCCTTACCCAGAGCTTTTTTAAGTAATATGTGTAACAAAAGGAACAGGAGGAGAAATGATTATTTGAAATGGCAAGTTGTCCAGTGAGCCTCATTTTGTGAAGTCGCCAGAGATACACACCCAACTGAGCCAAATCTTCTTGCTTACATATAGACATTACCTGCCTAGAGCTCTCTATTCAACTGGGGCTTGGTCTACAGTGTCACACCAGGACTCCACAACAGTACTATCATCTACATATTGTTGTTTTTAAGTGCCATTAAGTTAGTTCCAACTCATTGGGATCCTGTATAGAGTTTCCTAGGAGCAGCTGGTGAGCTTAGACCACCGACCTTGCAGTTCAAGTCAACATTGTAGTCTAGCACATTTACCAGTAGCACTATACCAGGACTCCATCTACTATTAAGCATAAGGAAATAGAGGCACAGAAAGGGTAAGCAATTTGCCCAGCTATGAAGGCACAAATTTGCACCTAGGCATTTGCCTCTACAACCTGATTAAAATGCTTCTTGCTTTAATGAAGACTTCAACTTCAGCTTCAACTCTGCAGAGCAGACATAGTCAAGGGATGAGCGTCCTGGTGGTGTTTGTGGAATGAGTCTTCCTGAACTCTTGGGAAGGAAACTGTGGACCTCTGGGGCTTCCTGCTAGGATCTAAGGTCCCCTAGGTCCTAGAATTAGTTCAAGTTTAAATTCTGACCCTTCATACCCCACTCTAAAAGCAAAATGCCATAAAGAATGATTTCCTTTGAATAAAAGCAAAGTAGACTTCCAGTGGAAACAGGGAGACCTTACCTGTGTGGTCTTTCTTCTAGACAGACTCTGTTGCTACCTAGCTAGTGCTGAGCAGCTCATCCTAATCCCTTCAAACAAACAGAACCTCCCCCAGCTCTCAAACCCACCTCTAAAGCCTGGTTCCTTGGGGCTCTCCACTTCTCAGTTAAAATGCTAATACCCCTGGAAGTGATTTTCAGTTTAAGTGATTACCAGCTAGAGTGAGCTAGGCTGGTACTTGTGAGTGGGGAATTGGTTTAACGAATCTGTGAGGGACAGCTGTTGCGGGGGAGTTGGGGAGAGTGCAGGATGACACACTAAAGAGGAGGGTGGGACAGTGCCTATTCCTCTCAGTTCTTGCTGAGGGGTGGGAGGCTTTCCTGCCTACTGCTTGGCCCAGTCCTAGGGCCTAGGCTGAAAGGAGTTTCTGAATGTCTCCATAGGAACATGCCATAGAGGGCCTGGGTGAGGGTGGGGGCAGAATGGTAGCAAGAGCTTTGCACGTTAGGATGGGTTTGGGTTCGGAAGAGGATTTGTGCCTTCTGCTGCGGGAACTGACAGCCTTCTTGCTCCTTGTGTGTATCTGTCTTGTCTCTTTCAATCTCTGATCTATTCAGTTCGGATCTTGAAGGGGATCTTGAAGGAGACCACCACATAAAGGCCGAGAGAGAGGGGCATAGTTAGGCTAAGAAAAATTTGGACTAGGTCATCTTTAGGAAAATCCATGCTTACCACGAGTAGGAATATCAGAAGAGAAAAACAAAAAGCCACTGGGTTGGCAAGGTGTATAGGCATGTGCTTTGTCAGAATGGAAAGCGAGGCAGTATTTAGAGAAGAGGTGAGTTATTTTCGTGGTATACTGGGCACCTGTCTAACCACTCCATCATCAGTTAAGGGACCCATTTATCTCAGAGGCATCAGGGTAGATAAATGGCTGTCAGCTTTTGCATAGACTTATCCCAGCCTCTCCTTGGTCTTTCTGCTGCCTGCACCCTCTGGATCAAAGACTTGTTGGGTTCTTCCTCTCATTTCCCCATTCATTATTCCCTTCTCAACCTGTCTTTTTTCTCACATTCTTTTCAGACTGCCAAGTCCTGCCCTGCCCAAGCCCCCATTGCATCAAATCCCTTCTCCTGCACTGTTTCCCAGGTTGCTTTCTTGGGAAGGAGAGCTCTGCTCCCAACACCTTCTTCCTCAGCACACACTCCCTTTGGTCCCCAAGCATGTGTGACACAAATGCAGCTCTGTCCTCTGAACTGGGCTCTGGTTGGACTTTGTATTTAGAAAGCCTCTGCTGGGTAGTGGGTGGCTTTTCTTTGTATAAATATATCCCAAATATTACATAGGACATACTTGTGCTTAAAAAAATGATTCGTTTATTTGTCTGGAGTTCAGATTTAACTGGCAAGTGTCCTGTAATTTATATAACAACCTTAAAAGACGAAGGAAATGAACGCTCTGCTCTCCCTCCAGAAGCTTGTCCATCCTTTGTTATTGTCATTAAGTGCTGTCTGGTCAGTTCTAACTCATAGCCACCCTGAATAGGGTTTCCAAGAAGCGGCTTGAATTTGAACCGCCAACCCTGTGGCTAGCAGTCTAACGCTTATCCTACAGCATCACGTCAGAACACCATCCTCTATCAAAAGTTCCCTAGGTATCTGCAGCAGAAATGGTGCTTGTTTTACAAAGACACCTCAACATGGATTTACCATAAACCTAAAAACCAAACCCATTGCTGTTGAGTTGATTTTGACTCACAGTGATCCTATAAGATAGAGTACAACTACCCCATAGGGTTTCAGAGGCTGTATACTGTTTTGTTTTGTTTTGCTGAGGAGCGACTGCTGGGTTCCAGCCACAACACAGAGCTTTTTTTTTTTTTAATTTTTATCGTGACTTGAGTGATAGTCTACATGGCAGAACATCAGTTTTGCACTCAACCAATCACATCTTGTTTCGTTGTAATGATTACAACCCCCTTTTTTGATGTATACAGAAACATGCAGGAGTATATAATCATTTAAACAA